CACCCCACTCACAACTGCTGTTTCTGTCACTGTTTTTCTTGAGAAGTACTGCATTTATTCAGTCGCTAAGAACGTCTTTACAATCACATCAAACGGGAGACGTTTCAGATGTGCCCTCTAACTTCCCCTCTGCGAGGTGCGAGTCAAACGAGCGCGGGAGCGGTACTGTGCTCGTAGCTCGTGCTCTTCAATTGCACGCACAAAGGCGCAATCACCCACTGTACCCTGTATCTTTTCATATCAAAGCGCGAATTAAACTACGTGCACGCAATGTCATGGTCAGTTAAGTCATGAAGTTACCAAAAAGGCAATTAAAGCTGCCTTAAAACTGTGCATGCATGTAATATATTATATATGAGTCACATTTAAGAACATGTTTCTGAAATGGTTTTCAAAACTGTCCTGGAGCAGCCCAGCACTATCTCCCTCATCTAACACACCCGATTCATTAGTAGAGGCTTCAAGACCTGAAGTGGGTCAGAAAAGGTAAAGAGATTTGAGAGAAAATACGATGTGTGTCAGATCCGCGTCATGTTCAGCAGCGGCAGCTCTTAAAGAAACGGCTGCCAAAACAACCTAATAACCAGCTGCTGTGATGTCTGTTAATCAAAGAAGAAGAAAAAAGAGGAAATCAATAACTTTTAAAGCTTTAAGAATTCATCTATATTTAATTTAGAATTTAGCATTTGATAACTTCAATTTCTGTATATTTCTGCTGAAGGGCACAGGTAAATATGACATTTATTATAATGGGTTTATGTGAAGATTGTTTTAAGTTAACTTAAATTAGAAGTTATTTTTTTTTAAGCCTAATTAATGTTCAAATTGATATCTCTCAATTATACTGTAATGTTGAATGGCTATAGTCAATGGTTAAATATTAAAGGGAAGGCACTCTGAGGAAGGCTTTGTAGCTAAACGTTTGTGTCTTTTACCATCAATGATGAATGTAAAATAAAACGTAAAAAGAAGAATGTTCTCGTGAGTGCGGATCATGGTCTCCTATACTAAATATTAGGGGGAAAAACAATTTTATAGAGACATCGTCAGTGATACTGGCCTTCAGTCATAAAAAAGATGCCATTAAACAAATATTAAAAATATACTGTCTTTATGTTGTTTGTACATTAATTTGAAGATTGAATGTAAAATTATTGCAATATAAAAGTATATTTAAAAACTTGAATGTTAGGTGGGATTAATCACGATTAATTTCAGAAAAAAATTGCGGTTAATTAGTTAATTGTTTTAATCGATTGACAGCACTAGTATATACACAAACACAGTACTGTATATATCTACTATTTAAAAGTTTGTGGTTAATACGATTAGATTTATTTATTTATTTATTTATTTATAAAATAAATTAATATTATTGAGCAGAAATGCACTGATCAAAAGTAACAGTAAAGACTACTGTCTACCTATGGACTTGTATTTTCTTTCAGTTGCCGTTTTCCTGTCTTCTGTTCTAGTTTAGCTCCTGTGTGCCCTTATTTGGTTATGTTCTTGTTTTTGTTTAGTCATTATTAGTTAACCTCCATTCACCTGTGTCTACTTAATCACCCTCATTATCCTGTGTATAGGGCCCACGTGGCCTCACTCTGGCGGGCATGGGAGTAAGATGACGCCCCTACTCTGGTTCTCCGTAACCATGAAAGCTGAGCTCCAAGGGGCTTTTTGAGTGACGCAGGGCCCGAGTACCCGACACCCCGGTGGGCATGGGAGTAAGATGACGCCCCCTACTCTGGTTCTCCGTAACCATAGTTGCCCTGACAACTACATTGTTAAACAAACTAATCTATTTCAAATAAATATATTCATTCAAATTTTATTTTCATTAAAGAATTATGAAAAAAAATATTGTTTTACAAGTTTCTACAAAAACATTAGGCAGCACAACGGTTTTCAACATTGATCACAAGAAATGTTTCTTCAGCACCAAATCAGCATTTACAAACATTTCTGAAGGATCATATGACACTTAAGACTGGAGTAGAGGCTGCTGAAAAATAAAAATATATTAAAATTGTAATAATATTTTGCAAAATTACTGTTTTTTCTGTATAGACTTACCGTTTAATTAAATGCAGTCTTGTGAGAATAAGACTTTCAAAAACATAAAAACTAATTACAAACCCAATACTTTTGGTAGAAATTGTAGTGTATATACAATTAATACACATTTCTCTACTTATATTTATATACAGTATGGATTAAATCTGCATTTAATTCTGAAAGGGAGGATGTATGCCATAATGATTCAATTCACTATTCATCTTCACAATGTTAAGAAAATCAGAAATTTGATGCAATAGAAAACTTTCTAATAAATAATCAACCAGCTATTGGATTTCTGTATTGATTTGTTTAACTTGAATGAATTTCAACTCATATCTTATTGTAGCCTTCTAAGGCTGATGGTACACGGGGCAACTTTTTGAGCAATGTTGCCGGCAACGGGCAAGCAGATGAGACACAGGGCCCATGACCGATCTAAAGTATTCAGATAGACATTTGCTATCAATTCTCAATGTGAAAGTGCCCAAGCAACATTGCTCAAAAAAAGTTGCACCTTGTATCATCAGCCTAAGAGGCTCAGCAAGTCTCAGCACAAGCAATCACAAAAAAAAAAAAAAAAAAAAAAATATTACCTGGCAGTTTGTCATACTATAAATGAGAAACATAACTGTCCACCAAACAGAGCCATAGGTTTTTGCAGAAGTAATGTAAAGCATTTCCTCTATGGAACAAAGGCCTATTAATTGTGATAGATAGCACCTACTGAATGCATCATTTTGCTGTTTTGCTGTACCATGCTACCTCTTTGAAAGTAACCCATTAGTCTTTGTGGCAGCCTGCATTCTGCTCCCAATTTAATAATGACTCAAACTTTGTTTAATTAAAAGAGTCTGTCACCACTTTTACAAATTGCATTTGTTTTTCAGCTCATCTTAGCTGCTCTAAAATAGAACGTGACTATAGAGGTTTTCCAAAGATTAATACCTTTGCAGCATGCAGACAGTGTAATCAGTTAAAACTGGGGTTTAGGGAAATAAATACATGCTAATGAATAATTTGGGGGCATAAGTTTCTACCCACGAAGACAGGCAGAGAGTAATGTGAGAAAACATGTCAGATGCAATCCAAAACAAAAGTGTGCAATACATTCAGGCAAAACCTAAGACAGAGAAAGGGAATTCATCTAATACAAAAAAGTGAAAGTGCGCAATTACAGGCTTTGCTACATTTACTGCTTTCATTTGCTTTAGGGTGAACAAAAAGAAAAAAAAAGTTATGCAACTCTTGCCGCTTCTGACGCTGCCGATATGAGTGAATTCTCTATGATCCCTAGAATTACAGCTTTTGGGCAATGGTTAGAGCTGTAATTTGAATCATACGGCAGGCCTAAAGTGTGTGATTAAAAATTGCGTCAAATCAAATGGATATCTTCCAAGAAAGCCTTTATTATCTTGGTCTATATAAAGCTAAATCAATCAAACTTCACCACTTCTCTAACACTGAGATGTATGTTTACGCTCCTCAGGGAACCAAAATTTGGTCTTTATTCTCATACAATGATGGGTTTCCTAGGGCTAAATGGAAATTGTTAAATCTATTTTGACAAAATGTCTTGAGTTATCTGTCTTTTCCCTTCTGAAGCAATGTAGCTGTAGACTCGCAGCGCCAGGTTTGACTATTGACAAAGTCTGATATATTTCACAACTCATTTTGTACTGGGCCTTTTTGACATAAAGAGAACATCGGACCAATATGTAAAGTGACTAACAACAGTTCCCTTTCAGTCGGTCACTACGAGTCACGTCGTGACCGACGAATTGGGATATCGCTTCGATAGACCAATCTACTTCGAGTGTAAACTAAACGAGCCAATGCACATTGGCATGCAATTATTGCTGCCGCTGATCACAGCGTGAGTATAATAGTGCCTTTCTTCCCGGAGGTGCATGACGAGCTCACCAGGTCAGGGAACGTCTCGGTTACGTATGGTAACCCTCGTTCCCTGAAGGAGGGAACGGAGACGTCACGTCCCGTCGCCACGGTTGCTGTACCACCGCTGAGCGGCCGGGTCGCCGGCTCGGCTCCTCAGCGAAAACCTGGTATGCATTGCACCTGCTGCCTTATTATACTCACGCTGTGATCAGCGGCAGCTGGATGCAATAATTGCATGCCAATGTGCATTGGCTCGTTTAGTTTACACTCGAAGTAGATTGGTCTATCGAAGCGATATCCCAATTCGTCGGTCACGACATGACGTCTCCGTTCCCTCCTTCAGGGAACGAGGGTTACCATACGTAACCGAGACGTTTTGTATTAACCAGACATAATAGTGATGGTAAAATTAAATACTGGCCAAAAATCACATATTGGTTAAGCAATCTCTGTGAGCAAAACAGAAATAACATAATAAATGTGTGTTGACTTTCTTTTAATATATGAAATAAGTACAGATACAAAACAAACAGGAAAAATGGGAATATCCAATTCTGAGTATGGTTATCTTATTCAATTGCTAACAGGCTATCTTTTCGAAATCCAAAGGCAACATTGACAAATCTATTAACCAGTTCTTTTTCAGAAACACTCATTGTTCCAGCCTGGTATCTTTTAAATACAAGTTTGTTTCCTGATAAAACTGGTAAAATTGCAGCCAGCTGCTAACCAGCTAAACAGATGGTATGTGGGCATGCCACGTGAGACTAATTTACACATTTTTTACCGCTTTTGATTTTCACTTATTTTTTCTTATAAATGTGCTCTTTATGGTTTTTGTTGCCACAGCAACAAAGTACAGTAATTTAATTTAAAAAAAATCACAAACACAAACATTAATTAGAAAAACAAACACAGAAAATATCAGCCTTATGCCATCAAATCAACATGTACTGTATGTCTCCAATTTCTTGAGGTTAATGATGTAGTGAACCTTTGACCCAAGCCTGACTACTGAAGAGGGAATTAGGCACTCTATCACTTACCCATGACTGCTAGAGCCGTGGCTTTAGTTAAGTCCCTCTTCATGCTTTCAATGACCTCAAAGCCACTACCGTCCAGATTGCACCTGTTGATAGTACCATTAGCAGAACTGATCCAATACATCTTCCCAGCGGGAAAGTCAATTGAAAGTCCTAAGGGAAAACAAGAATCAGTTAAAAACTGTTATTTGGAGTGCTGGTGTGGAGTCATTACTTTAAAATATACCTTACATATCCTATAACTATATATGTATCTGAACGTGAGATGATTCTTTATAGCTTGAAATATAGTTGTGACCTCTTTGTGACACTCTAAATCACTAAAATTCATCTCTCTCTTAAACCTGTTTCAAAAGTGGAAATGGTTAGAGTTTGACAGAGTGGTAAAATTGATTGTGACAAGTGAAGGATATTTCAATTGAGCGTCAGGACAGCTCTGACTGAGAGGGGCTAGTAGACACCCAACAACAACAACTGACTTTCTTCTCCAAGACTGCTGTTGAAATAAAAGAAGCATGTGCTTTGCTTATCAATGAACACACAGGTACAGGGATATAAAAAGGAGCTATATTTAGGCTTGAGGATGGGAACTGTGTAGATGTTTCATTTAAAAAAAAAAGTCTAAAGTACTACTATTCTGCTGTGTATTAAAAAGTAAACTTTTTTATTAGCTTTTGAAATAGACTGATGAAATCAAAAGGCCAGGGAGATTTTTCCATTAAAGTAACTTTTACGCATAAACGTTGTAAAGCAACCTGTTAAATAGCAATTTTCTCAGGGTCCTGACTTTGTAAGGCTGTGGATAGGAAATGTCATATATATATATACAGTATATGAAACTTATATTCTGAAAGTTGTTTGAATTCAGCCGCAGTTTGTAGCAACTCAAGTTCAAGTTCACAATGGTTATATTTAAAATGAATTAATTTCTGCTATTACTCTACTGTAGGTCAAGACTCTGTTGGGGTGACTAATCAGACATCTCTTCTCAAGGACAAATGACCACAGTTGTGGCCAATTACAATAGAGTCTGAAATGGATTTTGCTGGCTGTTTTAAATAAAAGTTATATAAAATCGTTTTTCTTTATAAGTGGAAATAAGATAGCACTCAAAATATGTATTTTGTACATTGAAGGTCTAAAGAAAATCGTAAGGCATATAAAGCATGATTTTCTCCTCAGAAATCTAATTAAATAGGAGTACAAGTGTTCTATTTCAACAAAGTACAAATTTCTAAAAATAAGACTTAAGTATATAAATGAAGTACAATTCCTCTTGTATTTTAAACTCCTGTCATTATTAGACTGGCAAAGGAATCAAACATACCAACTGGTTCTCTCTGATTTTGATGAAGAACCTTCCTATTGCTTCCATCCATATTGGCTACATTTATTGTGTTTCCATCGGTCCAGTAGATTTTTCTAGACCATGACACAAAGCAAATTTTAGGAAAAACATGAGTCATAGGAATTCTCATGGTTTGTATTTAAAGGCATAGTTCACCCAAAAATGAAAATTGTGTCATTAATTACTCACCCTCATGTCGTTCCAAACCCATAAGACCTTCGTTCATCTTCAGAACACAAATTAAAGGGTTAGTTCACCCAAAAATGAAAATTAGGCTGTGTCTTACTCACCCCCGAGGCATCCTAGGTGTATATGACTTTCTTCTTTCAGACGAATCCAGTCGGAGTTAGATTAAAAATTGTCCTGGCTATTCCAAGCTCTATCATTGCAGTCAGCGGGTGTTGCAGTGCTTCAGTCCAAAAGAAGTGAAATAAAAAGCGCCCATCCATAAAAAAGTGTCTCACATGGCTCCGGGGGTGAACAATGGCCTCCTGTATCGAATCGATGTGTTTTTGTAAGAAAAATATCCATATTCAAAACTTAATTCATCCTAAAATGAAAATTCTGTCATTAATTACTCACTCTCATGTCGTTCCAAACCCGTAAGACCTTCGTTCATCTTCGGAACACAAATTAAGATGTTTTTGATGAAATGTGAGAGCTCTCAGACCCTGCATAGACAGCAACGCAACTGTAATGTTCCCAGGTCCAGAAACGCAGTAAGGACATCGGTAAAACAGTCCATGTGACATCAGTGGCTCAACTTCAGTTTTGCAAAGCTACAAGAATACTTTTTGAGCGCAAAGAAAACAAAAATAACATATTTATTCAACAATTATTCTCCCCTGAGTTACGTGTTCGGCCATTTTAGAGTATCACAACGCATACGCATGCTTTCCCCTAAGCATAAACAATGCTGATTACGCAGATTACGTTCATGCGAGCGCTTTCTCCTCCGAACGTAAACAACGCTGATTACGTCAATTACGCAATTACGAGTTAATTTTTGTTTTCTTTGCGTTCAAAAAGTATTCTCGTAGCTTCGCAAAACTGTTGAAAAGTTGAGCCACCCTTACCAAAAAGTAGTATACTTCAAGTTTATTTTATTAAGTAACATTTTGAACAAAAGCTGAAAAAAGACTATGAATTGGATTCAGAACGATAATCAAACCGTAGATATTCGATCAACACCCCAAAGCTTGACAGTCATTATTACCTCTTCATTGGTCGGCATTACATCAACTTTACACAGTTTTGATGCTGTTTTATGTCTGATGATCGTGTTAGATTACATGTGGAAGCATCTGTTGTTTCGGTTTCTTTTTCACTTGTGTTTTTTGGAAATTCTGTACAGAAAATGTTTACTAGCGCCCCCTACAGTATAACAAGTGATGTCACATGGACTGTTTTACCGATGTCCTTACTACGTTTCTGGACCTGGGAACATTACAGTTGCGTTGCTGTCTATGCAGGATCTGAGAGCTCTCACATTTCATAAAAAATATCTTAATTCGTGTTCCGAAAATGAACAAAGTTCTTACGGGTTTGGAACAACATGAGGGTGAGTAAATAATGACAGAATTTTCATTTTGGGGTGAACTAACCCTTTAATATTTGCATGAAAAAATAAATAGACAGACAGACAGACAGACAGACAGATAGATAGATAGATAGACAGATAGATAGATAGATAGATAAACACAAATCTTACTTAATCATGCATGCAATCTGTCCATGTGGGCTGCTTACCCTTTGGCTGGGTGCACAGTCAGACACTTTGGTTTGTCAATCCCATGGATGACTGAGGTTTTTAGAGATCCGTCTAGTTGGGCAACATTGATCTGCGTCTCCTCGTTCTCAGAGCTCAGCCAATACATATTCCTTGAAAGCCAATCTACTGCCAGCCCACGGCAGTTTTGAATATCTGCACGTACCAGAGATAGCCATTAGCACAGAGGTGCACATCACAACAAACCTCATGGGTGACTGCAACACTTCTGCGCACGCTGTAATAAAATATCTTATGTGCAAAGGCACATGGTTGGCATGCTGATCAGTTTGAGAAGGTTTAAGAAATACACCATGCTTGATAACAGCACTTAAGAAGAAGCAATCCCCAGAGAACTTCACAAACAAGCTCTCCTATCACATAAGATATTATTTATGTTCTGCCGCACACTCCTTCAACCATCATTTTTTTAATGCATGCCGCCTGTGAACACAGTCTTCTCATAACTGAAAAAACCTATTTAAGACTGAGTGTCACCAAAATAAAACAGTATTTCAGCTCAAACCTACAATGTGGCAGCAGAGAGAGAAAAAACAAAACAACTTATTAACAGCACAAAAATGTAATAACTGTCACTTAGGTGGTGTTTATTGAGAAAAATCTTACACCCCACAGAATGTGAAAAAAAGAAACAAGAAAAAACACTTTGACTTGGACTCTCGACTCACCTCCAGAAATGACAGTTTGAAGGCCTGTTCCATTGATAAAGACACGTTTTATTGTTTGAGTCTTAACGTCCGCCCAGTATATCCTTTCCTCAAGAGCGTCGTAATCCACCACAGTGACATCATCGATGTCAGGAACAGTCAAAGCAGTCATGACGTTCATGTACGGATTATCGATATCCACTCCACGGATCTCAGATCGCCTCACATACAACAGGAACTTCTTCAGGGCTGATGCGCGTGCCAAAACAAAATATATATAAGTCAATAATTCGTCTAGAAAGCTCAAACCGATCCATACTTCTGTGTGTATGTTTTGTTTGTTGTGTGGGATGTTACAGAGCTACATACTCACCCACACAAGAGCGGTTGTGGAGGGAAAGCTTCATGAGATGAGGACATGAACAAGACGCCGTGCGGTTGTAATCAATGAGACAAAGGTGGGAGCAAGGGACTCTTCCATCGTTTCCCTCGCACGGGTTTGAAGCTGAAAAACCCAGGGTGACGCATTTAAAAAAGGGAAAGAAAACATACCAAGGAGAAAATCAATATCACATACTATGAATTAAGGAGAGCAGCTCTTAAAAGAAGTCATGAACAACAGCTGTGAAACAATGAAACAAAAAACAGTTACTGTACAGTGAAACCAAGAGAATTAGTCTTCTTGATGAGGTGCAAGGATTGAGAATTCAGATGTCTGGATTTAAAGAGGGCAACATAAAATGGCTGTAAAATAAAAGATTGCAATACCACTAAGAAAACATTCATCTTAACTCCAGGATAAAGGGAAGAGCTGAGGTTGAATGGACAGGGCTGACAGCTCATGTCTTCTGCCCACAGTGATCCTCTTGAAAGCACAGCACATTTAGACCTTCTGTACGATTCTTTGTAGAAGGGCTACTATATTTCAACAGAAGGTAATGTTGAGCAGACAGATAATGGCCTGAAGGCCACTGGTGCGAATAGTCAATTAACCATCAAATCTTTCTCAGATTGCTCTGATGGTAAAGATCTTCCTTGAAAAGACCAACTCAAAAGCTGAGATGAGGATCAGCGAGATTAATGCTGGTTATGTATATATGTTTATGTTTTTCAAGATTCTTTAATGAAGAGTAAGTTCAAAAGAACAGCATTTATTTGAAATAGAAATCACTTAAAAAAAACTGTACTGTAAATGTTTTAATGTCACTTTTGATAAATTGAATGTAGCCTTGCTGAAGAAAAGTATTCATTTATTTTAAAACACACACATAAAAAATAAATAAAACAAATCTTACTGACTCAAGCATTTGAACAGTAGTGTACGCATTCTGACATATTTTGTCAGAACATGTCTATTTATATCGTGCTGCCATTTTCTTCTGCCATTACACAAGACTACCGCCTGTTGTCAAGACTCTTTAACCCTTCCATGAACCCAGAGCAACTACATGCAATTAACTCAACAAGCAGTTGCATCTTGTAAATAATTGATCCAGTGGGAGTTTGAATATAGGCCCATTATTTCTTTGCGATGTCGAACCCATTTCACTTATGTAGCAAGCATATTTTTGCAAGTGAGAATAACAAATAATTTCAAGTGACTAAATTATAGGCTAGAATCCCATAGAATTAATTATGCATTCTGCTGGTCTGCGGTGGGGGAAATGGCTGTTTGAATAAATACTGTATAAACAGTGCGAGTGCACTTGACTCATGATAGAAACACTTGATTTGGATGTACAGATTTTTCATAGTCATAAATCAGCCACAGATTTTATAAATCTCCACATCAATCTGACTTTACCTTAACATTACTATACAGTATGTAAAGTGGGTGCGGAGTATAATTTGTATTTTCACTGCTTCAGCTTTGTCTGAATAGGGAAGCATCCACACCGTCTGCAAACTCCAATAGTAATTTTGAAGTGGTTTGCCTGTCAGCAATGTGCTAGAAAAGTGCTTACAACACTGCAGGCCACACAGGCACTAAAACTGTTGTCGATCTCTTGAAACTATACACTCAGTCCTTTTACCACACATAATGCATTTACAACGTGCTGGCTAACAGCTGTAGCCTTAGCCCCATTAGGCTAGTTAGCATAGCTGCTTCTCACTCCCTACGGACACTCTAAGGTCCACCACTCTTCTGCCAGAACTGCAGGGGCCAAACAAAAACACAATTGCCATGGACTGTAAGGGGCCAGAGCCCAGATTTTGGACACCTTTAATAGCCAGACCTTCCCATGGGCTCTTTAAAATTGGATTAGCCATACTTACTGGCTTTGTTGGCAAAGCAGCACAATTTGTCGACACTTATCGGTGTAAAACAGTCACCCGTCTGCCGGTGCTGTGGCAGGAGACATGAGCTGTTTTGGCAGGACTTCCTATAGTTTTGGGCTGGTTGAAATGATGCAAATCAGATTATTTCAGCTGATGAACACTCGCAGAAGGCTACATTTCTGGACATCTGGACACCTGGCACACTTGGCAATTACAATAACTTCTGTTAACATGTTTTACAATTTTTATAAATCAGAGATGAGTAAGAGTAAAAATGGGTCATGTAAGACTTATGTCGTAATTACAGAAAATCTAGTGTTTTTCATTTGAATACATTCATTTGAATATATTTTAGGAAATCATTCTAATATGCTGATTTGGTGCTCAAGTAACATTTCTTCTTTTTATACAATATACAATTTTTGTGTAAACCATGATACTTTTTTCACTCTTTAAGAAATAGAAATAGTAAAACAAACAAACAAACACAAACAATAATAGTTTAAAAATACATATACATTAATTTAAAATGATTTAATTTGTCCTTCCTGAAGAAATGTATACATTTCTTGAAAAAAATAAATAAAATAAAAGTTGACTAACCCTTTAGTGTACATGTTTTTCTCAGAAAATGTAAATTAATATAGTGTTGTAATTGCAACAAACTCTATTAACATGCTTTACAAATCAAAAAATGCATTTTTTTTATAAATTAAAGATGAGTAAAAGTAAAGGAAATGGATCACGTAAGCATTAAATCATAATAAAAAACAACAAATAAAAAACAAACAAAAGTCAAATAATAAAAAAAGAGAATGATAAATAAAAACATTTTTAAATCCTAATATTTGTCTATTAATAAGAAAATGCCAATATAAGTAAACTGTGTATGATGTTTTTTCCCCCATTTTCCTTTAATGACTACTGTCTGTTTAACAGAAGATAATCTGCTGCCCTTGCTGGCTACAAAGCCCTGTGTGACACTGTACCATGAAACAATTAAAATTAATTTGGGTTGAGGAAAGAGCACATCTTGAGTCCACGTCAGGCCTGCTTACGCTCTGCATGACCCCCCTTTTCAATTATTCTGCTGCTCTCAAACAGAGCGTTTGGGCTAGATTGGCAGAAGAAATGAATGATCAGCGGGATTCGGCTCAAATGAATCCTCGCCCCACAGAGCATGCAGGAAAATTTCTCTCGGTCTCCCAGACTAAAACCGAACATTGCCGGATCATATTATTCTTTTTTTTCAATAACGTGCAGCTAAGCACGTTAGGTCAATGTGAAAACTGCTAAGCTTGCTGTGTGTGGCTTGCACGCTGAACGAGCTCACGGGGTGCAAATGCTAACAGGAAATGGAAGAGGTTTAAACATTCTGACAGAGCATTTGGATCATCAATAAGGGTGAGATTTTCAAGTAAAGAATTTCTCTCCGGATTTCATGCCTAGAAACCTCCAGCAATTATATTCAAGAAAACTGTGATGCTTGTTAAACATACAGTATAATAAACAGAAGTTGTCACTATGGCAACAAGGTTGTGTTAGTCTAGTTAGTTCAGGCAAAACACTCAGCATGATACTTGTGAAAACAACAATGTAATTATTCTTTGATTTTGAGTGATTTTATCATTCTTTTTTTCTGTGACCCTGTTGTCCACAGCACAGTACAATGTTTACGTGTTTATTAAATAGACAGCTGTATTTACTGAATGAACAAAATAGCTACTTATTTTTGTGTATCTCTCTCTATATAGTATAGGGACCAATTCTCACTATTAACTAGTTGCTTATTAGCTTGCCTATTAATACCATATTTTTCTGTTTATTAGTACTTATAAAGCACATATTCTGCATGACAATATACTACATCCCTAATCCTACACAATAACTCAACAACTACCTTACTAACTATTAAAAAGCAGCAAAGTAGGCATTTATTGAGGCAAAAGTTGTAGCTAATGGTTTGTTAATAGCGAGAATCTGACCTTAAAATGAAGTGTAAATATGTATATGTGTGTATATATGTATATAAAGTGTATATGTGTGTGTGTGTGTGTGTTTATATTTTAATGCTTATATTTATCACAACCAGTTACTCTGTTCCAAATCCTAGTGAACAACCTCAAAGTGTTTTATTTTGATTGTTTTTATTTTAAACGTATTTGTTTGTTTTAATTCTACATTTTTATGATTTAAATTATTATGATTTAAATAACTTATGAGCCACCACAGTTTGTAAAACCCTGTTTTAAGGCATCACAGACATACTTCCAATGTTAACGTATCCTTGTACTGTATGTATCCTTCACAGAAAAGGCAATTCCACAATACATTGATGGTGAAAAAATAAACCAAAAAATAGTGGACAAATAAAGAAAAACATACATAATAAAAACATTAAATACCATTAAACCAATTAAAAAATAAATAAATAAATAAATAAAAATAATAATATATATATATATATATATATATATAGCTTTGTGTTGTAATATTTATTTAAAAAAATGTAATAATGTTTCACAATAGTACCACTTTACTGTATTTATATTGTTGTTATATTGTTATTGTATGCTATATTGTTGATATTAAATCAGTAAAACTAAAGTAATTATGTTTAATTGTATAGAAATTAACAGCATTTAGATAATTACAGACCCACCTTGAGGTTGTCTGCTAGGATGATATATCTCCAGATCAAATGGCTGGGCACTTGTCTTTTGGATCACAGTTACATTGCGGCCAGTCCATTTATTCGCTCTGGCTAAAGTGTTGGTTCTCCAGTCTGTCCAGTACACACCACCTCCAAAGAGAGACACAGCGAACGGGTGTGACAGGTACTCGTGCCCCCTGAGGATCTCGATGACCCCCGTGCCATCATACAGGGCTGAATATATTGCATCTGAGCTGAAGGGAAACAGTAACATGAGGTGAGAATAGCACTCTATGCACATATCAACAAGATGTTAAAATGATGACAACTTCCTGAGGGAAATACTGAAGATTCAATAACTTTTTTTTGGCATAAATATGGCTACATACTTAAAATATACTTAAAATGCTCATTTCTGAAAAACTGCTTTTGCCATGAAAGTACAGCATAAGAATAAATCTAAGAAAAAGTGATTTAAAATCATAATCTCATTCATTCCTTTTGGTTTAAATGTGTTGAGGCTGTTTTATATAATGTTTGCGAATCATACCTAACCTAAAAAAAAGCCTTGAGCATTTATGCAAAACACCTAGGCTTAAATTCAATGATTCTTGTTAATTGCACCAAAATATAATTCTTCATTTGCATTTTTAATTTCCCGTACCGAGCATCTGTCCACACTATTCTCCTTTCCTGATGGTCTAGCGTGAGTCCATTAGGCCAGGCTCCAATCTCCATGTCCTTATACACAACATGTCTTCCACTTCCACTCATTGACGTTGCCTCAATCCGAGGAAAAGTGGCATCCCAGTCGGTCCAGAAAAGAATGCTACATACAGAAAAAAATGGTTATAAACTATTCATCTGACCATACAGCACATCAGTGTAAACATTTCAAGGTAACACTTTAGTATAGGGACCAATTCTCAATATTAACTAGTTGCTTATTAACATGCCTATTATTAACATATTGGCTGTTTATTAGTACTTATAAAGCACATATTCGACATGACCATATTCTACATCTCTAATACCTGAACTTAACAACTAAAAGTTGTAGTTAATGGTTTGCTGATAGCGAGAATTGGACCTTAAAATAAAGTGTGACCCAAAATAATATTCTTCCAAATAAAATTGCAACACACACATCTTAAACACACCTTAAAATATTTATTTTACCATCATTTTCAGTATTTACTCATGACTGAACTATTAAGACAGATCTCTATAGCTGCTTTGAAACTATATGTATTGTGACAAGCACTATGCAAATAAACATGACTTGACTTGGGAAGTATAGCGCAGGGAGCTGCTCGGAAAATATAGTTACCTGCTTGAATAGAATTCATTTACAGTGAGCGGTGCCAGTAGTTACAAAACTAAGAGCAGGCACAAACCTGTGAAACTGCTGCATTGGAGCAATATAGTAGTGAAGTGTGTGTGTATGAGAGCTGTGTGCGCAGGGCTGCATCCTATGCTGCCCTAGAGAACAGTGCCGCTTTACATCATGAAAAAGCTTTAAAAATCTAAATGTAAAATAGTAGATTAATTTCAAACTATTATCTTTATATGCACACTGTAAAGTTCAATGAAAACTGTCTGCCAGTGAAGTCAATGTCAAACAGGAGGGTTCATTTTTAACTGATGTCACAGTTCGCTGGGGTGGCATGAAAACAAAAGGCACATTCTAATGTGGGTATTACAGGGATTATAAAAATGCTAAATACTTGCATCAAGCTCATATGCTAATGAAATATGTGATCATGTTCCTGCATCCGGCATCAAAAACAATTAAATTGTCAGCCAAACGTTTGAGGTGCATGGTAGGTAGGTAAGCATACAAAAAGGCTTCACATGAATTTTGCTTCAAGGATGTAGCCTTCTCCTTTTCAGAAGGCCAATTAATTGGCCAGTGGCATACAGTTATTAAACCAGGCTTTCAATGAATAAAAGAGTTGCTAATTACAAAGACGGCTAATCCCTTCAGAACTACAATACATTTTCAACACACCTCTCTATGACACAGCTGTATGGGGCATAGTAACTATGTAATGAATTTGGTGCTTTTTAATATGTGCCACGCCGCTGAGTGTGAAATCAGTCTTTGAATATTTTCCCTAATTGTTCTTTTCAGCGTTCAGTGAAATAATTTACAGTACAGGTATGTCATCCAACTGAGCACCAATATGAGCTCTAGTTGGACTGCAGAGATACCATATTTCTCCTCTATGGGTTGCTCACGGGTTTGGCAAAAATGTTTCAGATGCATAAAACAGGCAAACAAGCAACAACTAGGGCTACAACAACATATTAACAAAAAAGGACTGATAACGAATATAATTTAATTATGTTTTTTTTTTTTGTGCCTGTGTGCTGTCGTTTGGTAAACTGCCATCATAAGCATCACTGTACTATAATGAAAAATACTTTTGGGGGAAAAAACAAATGCTATATTTATACAATTTTTATGAGCTTTCTGATTTTTCCATTACATTTTTTCCTATTCATTTCTTATGTCATAAATTTTAGACAGCGAAGGTACCAAGTGTTACTTTTTGTTCCTCGACTCTTTAACATTTCTGAATTATGTCCAATGTTTTTTTTGTTTTTTTGTGTGCGTTCACATAGCTAATGCAATAAAGACACCAAGGGTCAGGTTTACTAAACAGGGCAAATTAGCGTTAGAAGTGTAAAATTTTGTAAAAGTCAAAAGTGACCGATGAGGCCCAGAGGGTTAATAAATGATTAAAATTAATGTAAAAAAATCTAAATCTAAGAAATAACTGGCATATTAATCATCAAAACATAAAAAATAGGTTATACTTGTACATTTCATTTTTATAGCCTTCAGTGGAAATATGTGGAATAAAATGTTCAATAAATCTGGAATTAAGGAATTAAAATAAATGTATTTAATGTATTAAAAAAATGTCTGCAAAAAAGCCTATTTTTGTGCATTTACAATGTCGGTGAGCATTATTCATGCTGCTGGGATCATTGTGTGACTTTTCTGAGCTCATGTTGTCATATCTGAGACTTTTGAGACTATTCTTTGAGACTATTCTTTTCCTAGCATGCCTCCGTAAGAAATGTAGAGCTGAGCAAGAGAAGAGCACAGCTGAGAGTAAGGCGACAAAAAAGGAAACAGAACACAACAAATAAACAGCAAGATGCAGCGCGTTATTCTAGAACTATCATTAGTAATATATGACAAACAAGTCCCCTGAAATATGATTGCTCTGTTATGTACCCAAGATAGTCTCTATGAGGACAAATTATGGTAAAAAAGAAATAAAACTTGTTTTTTCACTGTTTGCTTTTGCTGTTGTGAACATTGCTGAAGGGAATGTGAAAAAGAAAAGCAGACTAAGAGGAAAGAAAATTAGGCTGTGGTAAATTTTGTATGAGACTAATACACACCCCTGTCCTGGGTCTATAGCCAGCGCTCGTGGGTGCTCCATGCCACCGGCAATCAAAGTCGTTCTCATTTCGCCATTCAGCTTGGCCACCTCAATCTGATCCAAGTTGCTGTCTATCCAGTAAAGGTTTCCTGCAATCCAATCCACTGCGAGTCCCTCTGGGGTGGCCAAACCATGCTGAATCACAACCTCGACCCCGGTCACACCTACAAAACAAACCACTCGCGCTAGATCATAGGGTGAACGGGGTTTCCAATTCAGCACAGCAAAGCATTCTGGTCGTTTTGAACTTCCTTTTGAAGTGTTGAACTCTTCAAAATGCTACTCCTTGCTGAAAAGACCAGCTTGAACCAGAATGCATTTTTATGCTGTTAGTCATGTTGTTCACCTGCAAATGATGCAACTATTTCTGATGAAATTGGACAAAGCAGGCTTGCTAGTTAAGCTAGTTTAAGGGAAAATTCAAATAAAAAACTAAAACTATTTCTAAAATTATATTAAAAAAAATTCAGCAACTGATATAAAGCTGAAATAAAATATACATATTAAATGAAATAAAGTTAGAGTAAACTAAATCTTGAAAAAAAAAAAATTTTTTCAGCTACCTGAAGATAAAATTACTAGAAAAAAAACTTAAAAACAACTAAATAAATAAAAATAAATAATAATAAAAAAAATTAATAAAATGACAAAATCACAAATTACTAACATTTTAACTAAAATTAAATTGAAAACCTAAAATAAAGGCTAATTCAAATTATTACTAAATACTATAATAGTATATCAATAATACTAAAATAACGCTGGCTCCAAGCCTGTATCACTTTCTATCTTCTGTGGAACACAAAATAAGGTATTTAGAAAAATGTCTCAGTGTCTTTTCTGTCCATACAATAAAAGTCAACCATTCTTCTAAAAAAAAATATTTTGGGCTGAACTATCCCTTTAAGAAGCCTGGTATGGACACCAGAATATCAACAGCAGGCGATCAGCATCCAAACACAACATTTGCTGGTCTTTTCGACAGGGTTTCTGAAAATAATTCTGGAGAAGAAAACACTGGTATTAAAGGAAAGGAAGTTTTCCCTCAGCAGTAAACAAGATTTTTTTTCAGCTATCTATAATCCAGCTGTTTGCAATTATTCTCAGCTGTGGAGGGCTTTATGAAATGCTAACAAAAGGAGAGAGCAATAGCTGCACTGGGGGCCTGTTCCTCTGAGAGAAAGATTTAGATGTGTGCTTAATGCAGCTTCAAAATAGTCTTCAAAACAAAACAAGGGTGTTCATCAGCTCCTTCAGAGCTTTTCTGCGTCATTCAAAGAGCCACTGCGCATTATGTATTGCATTACTGTTCAGGGGACGTGACCTGCGTACCAGGAATGGGAAAACAGAATATCTTTTCAAACTAAAGCTTAGGTTAAACAAAGGGCGAGTGGGAATGGGACATCAAATTGGGTGTTCATTACCTCCGGTCTCTGAGAGCTTTCCCCGATAGATCTTATCCTCCACCACGTCGGTCCAGTAAAGCAAACTGTGGTTGAAGTGGAAGTCGAGAGCGATGGTGTTCCGCAGGCCGGGAACGAGTAGGCTGTAGTCACGTTTATGAAGGTCGATTCGTCTGATCTCATGCCGGATAGAGAAGATAACAAAAGCCTCAAAGGGATCTTGGAGAAGAAACAAATTGATTATTAGCACCCCACACCTGTACATTAGAGGTTACAAGAGCATCGTGCTGTGTGTTGAGGCGTCCGCCATGCACATTTTGTTCTGTACATAACCCCTAATTAGTCTTTTAGCTGATGTTTTTAATGAAAAAGATTTACAGGGAATCTAATCTTGAAACCTGCGGATAATAATATATATATATATATATATACAGTATATATATATATATACACACACAAATAATTTGCCAGTCCAGCTCTATATCTACTATGCAACATTATCCCAGAAAAAAATATTTTTTATAGCTATTGGATAAAGCCTGTTGAGAGCTATAAATGTGCCTGTCTGCTATAACAAGAACTTACTCTCAAGAGCTACATACGTCACAAAATCCATAAAATACCACACAGATGCTTGTAGTCATATTCTGACTAATGACCCAAATTCAGAGTCCCTGAGACAATTTAAAAAGCATTTGGCAGGCATGCTGCTGAAAAGACATTAGCTTCTCAATGGGAAGCTCCTGTCTGCATATCCCGCTGTCATTGTATTACTGTTGCTCTTATTGTTGTGTACTGTGGACAGATCCACTATGGATGGACAGGAATGCACAGTGAAGTTATTTCACTG